ATTTACCAACCCGACCTTGAATTGCAGCCTGTCGCTGCACTTCTCTCCACTTGTCTTTGTTTCGCTTACGCTTGTCCAGTTCCGTACTTCTAGTGTAAATAATATTTCCCCAACATAATCGCCGGAGACCCGATTTCCACAATGTCTTTTTTCTTCAGCTGTTGCTTTTAGGACCTTCTTCGCTGAAACACCATCATGCATCCTAACTATTCCAGCAAAGGCGCTCAATGTTCATTTCTTGATAAGACTTTTACAGTTCATAGTTCATTTAAATGTGAAAGTCGTCGCTAAGTCATAGTTCACCAAAGAACTTACGAAGAGCTTTTCTAACGAACACTTCCAGTTATTGGTAGTGATAGTTCTTCGTCTGATCTCTAGGATGAAATCATTGTTGTTAGTTACGGAGTACTAAGATAAATGAGATTGCAACAGTTTTAAAAATGTAGGCACCAGCAACCACCTTAACTTTAGACAAGCGCCCATTTCTCTCAGGCGCTAGGTAGACATAGCCTATAGACATATATATCATTTCAATAATATATTTTCTGTTTACGTTTTTCTAAAGAAAATAATTTGATTTAATATAGAAAAAAAATTTATCAAAATAATTACGATTTATTAATAGATGACATATCGAACTTATACATCAATTTTTTTTATTGGCTACTGTTAACCAATAATTTATTTATAATATTTTGAGGCTGATTTCTAATAAAATGAATATATTATGAACTGAGACATCTTATTTACACAACTTATGATTGACTCTAGTGTATAATATTATTAGATGGAATTTTAATTTTCAAATTTTTGTTATAATATAAACCAAATAAATCTAATAAAATACAATATAAAAATATTTATAATAAAAGTTTTAAGTGTTTATGCTTTTATTATTAAAATTTATTTTTGTTTTAATTGTCGGATTGTCTGATTGTCGGATTGTTTAAGTATATAAATGATTAAGAGATTACGTTTTGTGCGTGTTCCTAAATGTATTCTGTGGTTTTCATTTTCCTTACAAGTGTCTGCTCCATTGCATACATAATACATACTACATACTACAATACACGATATGACGATGGAGGCACATGCAGCGTCTGCAACTTTTACATGACATATCGAGGGAAAAAACTCCAACGACATGCAGCGACAATCAATTAATCAGCGAGCAATAATAAGAAACATGCTTCCAAAGTGATGTTTTCATTTTTTCAAGTGTTGCTTTTGTTTCATGAGGAACACTCGTCCCAATAAAAAAATGGGTATTTGTTGTATTTTGGCATTAAAATAAATTGTTACTTTTTACAAAGTGCAGAAAATATATTTCTCGATTTTATTTAAAAAAAATTTGAAGCACTCAAACCAAATATTTTAAGAAAATTCCGAATTTCGGATATAGCTATATGTCTATTTGTTATATTTTATTATTATAAACACTTTATACAATTAAACTTCATAGTTTAAGACAGTATATACCATATATAGTTATTAATATATAAAGTAAAATAGTACTGTACTGGTCGTCAGAGGTAAATAAGGGTTGGCAGAGTACAGAGAAATCAAAATTAAACGCAATACTCACATGCAAAGCACAATTTTGACAAATTGCCTGATAAGACTTTGAACCATTTTATCAGAAATGTCCATGATTTGGGGCTCATGGCATACTATTTACTTCATTTGGTCACTTTTAAGGGCATTCACTTCAGTTTTTTCTTTTTTGATTTGAATTTTAAGCAATCGAACTTAAACGCCTCCCCAAAGAACACTTGGTGATGGTCATTGATAGATTACTTAAATCCCAGCGGAATATATGGAGTAAAATAACCACGTATATTGTCTTCTTGTGTGCTTAGCACATAAACTACGATATCATATGGATACAATTTGTGGTGGTTAGAAGTCTTAAAAGAAGAAGATATGAATAGTTATACATATATTCTATAAATATTTTTTTTTGAAATAGGTTAATTGGTCAAGTGTTAAATAAAATACTTTTTTAAAAAATAAGTTTTTAATTAATTCTCACTATTTTATATATTTATCTCTTGAGACAATTGGCTCATTTCAAAAACAAAATTATTAATAAAAATGTTGGTCATTAAAACCATAAATTACTATTTATTTCATAAATATATTTTATATATATCTCTCTTATATATAATACTCATAATAAATAATATGAAATATATAAATCTCAGATATATAATACATATATATGAGATATATATATGAAATATATTTATGAAATATATAGTAATTTATGGTTTTAATGACCAAAATTTTTATTAATAATTTTGTTTTTGAAATGGGCTAATTATCTCTAAAGGTAAAAGAATTTAACTCCTTTGTAATTCATAGCTCTGATAAAGATTGTGTTTTATATGTTTGACAATATTTTATATTATTATACAATATTCTTCAAAATAAGTTTTCCAGAAACATAGAATAAGACTTGGTCTATCCCATAAAGGCTTATTTTGAAGTTGCGGCTCTACAAAAGAAGAAAAAACTGTGTTGCACCTTATGTGTTAGTGACTGTCTATGACCAGACGAAGATGTGTTATTCTTTGAAACCCTTTTCTTACGAACTTGTTCGAGATATCAACTTTTAAAATTAGGGATATAACACAATTTATGGACTTGTCAGTTTGGTTCACTTAAAAGGTACATAAATGTGAGAATCATACCTTCTTGGAAGTTGTCCGAGCACCTACTTATTTATGATAGACAACCAGTGTAAAATGTCAGGAAGTAACAGAGATAATTAGCCATATATTTTCTTCTTCTTTATAACTTCAACAATAGTTGTTGAAAGGAGCTCTTAAGGGGATGTTGAAAAGTTGTCCCAGTCAATGAGGTTTAGTAGCGTACCACAGAAACATATATATTTACATATGAATTTGTTTATATGTTTACTGTTTAATGTTTGTATATATGTTTACTTAAAAACAAGTAATCTAATTGCAATAATAAAAAAGAGTTTAATATATATTGACTTTTGGACGAAACTATTATTTAAGTCCTTGCGGATGGAATTCATTGAAAGTTTCAGTGTCAATTATTGATAAAACTTTTAAGACTTCAACAATTTGAAATAACTATATTTAATTAAATCAAATATTCTACAGCTGGTTTAAGACTTCGTTCTGATCTAACATAACAAGTGAATTTGTTAATGAACTTTCACAGCAACTTTGACTTGACTTGTATGTAGTCAAGTACGGTTTTGCGTCTATTGACTAAAGAATACTGACTCCGAGATTCAAATTTGCAGGGCATTAATTCAAATAAAATTTTGTTGTAGCAAAATTTTGTTTTGTACTATTCGAAACCCCTCTAAAATTTTTAAGGTATAAATCACACTTTTAAAAATTTGGAAACGTGCAATTATTGAAACAAATTTTTTATTTAAAAAATATATGTACTTAACCGTGCTACTCATATTATAATCTTCTTTAAATTTTACTCATTGGGATCAATAATTTAACAAAAAGTTTCTAAAAAAATATTTGTAGTAACTTCATTGAATTTGGTAAAGCCTTTTATACGCAAATTAGAAATTTTGTCCTTCTCATGAAACCAATCCAAGACGGATGTTAACATGTTTTAGAATTACTCCATTATCTTAACAGATATAGATATCGTTCTAATCTGAAACATCTATATGGTATATACATTGTGACCGAAAAGCTTTCGGAAATTCTCATTTAAAATTCGCGCGCTGTATATTTT